CCCTAGCAGAGCAAGCCTTCAAAATTGCCCCAAAGTCAAAGTGTCTCCAGAAAAACCGAGTCTCTCTCTTTACATGTCATAACTTTTAATTTACATCATAAAATGCACAGTTACAAGGGGTTAGGCGCTGCGGCGGATGTGGTCATCCACCGTGGTAGATTATATAGAATGGCTTTCTGCGAACGGCTTTGGCCCCGCGGCGCATGTGATCATAGGCCGCGGCGGATATCACCGAACAAGGACTCCTTCAGGACAGCTTGGGCGCCGCGACGGATATGGTCAGGGGCCATGGCACCTCACACAGAAGTACACTCCTTCCTCTCTGTTAGAGCTGCCATGGCGTTTGTTCCCATGTGCCGTGGCGAATGGTCTCTTTTCAGCTCTCCGCTTCTGGTCTCTATTCCTTACTCGCTTCAGGCTTTTTTCCTACAAAATTGACTTCCAAACCAAATAAAAGAGTGCTAAAACAAGTTGAATAAGTAGGAACTTTGAGAGGTTATCATGTTTGTCTTCACATTTAATGCACTTTTTCTTATTTTATCCTTAATTATTCATTCTCTCTTGTCATAATCTCTCTTATCACATTTTTCTATATATTTTTTCCTCTTTTTTCTCATATTTGAAAACAAAAATATATTTCTAAAGTATTTATTGTTTTTAACTAATTTTCTAGATGGAGACTTGACCGGTTCAAGCTTAAAGCTAACTCCCAAGTCATGGATTCAAATATTTTGACTCGTCTTAATTATCTTTCCTATAAAAGATGTTATTTTTTAATTTTTACTATTTGATTAAAAAACTCATCCTCCATATGCGGCCACGCTCATATATATATAGTGTGTGTGTGTGTATAAATTCTATATAAAAATGTATAATCTAGAAAAGCTTTCTAATCCTGTTTAAGAAATGTCGCCTCGATACGTTAATTTTGTATATATTATAAGCATTTAATTTATATATACGTAATTTATAATAAGTATGATAGTATTAGAGTTGACGTCTATTTTGTATTTTCTTGAAAAAAGAGATATCGTTTCCGGCAACGTGAGGAGTTGTCAAGTCATCCGTTCCACAGTGGCAAGAAGCTTTTATTAAGAGGCAAGTTCAATTCCTCTTTGGGAGGCATGGGACCAGCTGCGCTGAACTTCCGCGACATTATATTATCACTTTTATAAGGCAGCATTAATAGTTTTATTTCATGAAAACAAAGAATTTACGTTTAATAAATTAGTTTAGGAGATAAGGTAATATATAAATTTTTTAGAGATTTATTCCTCTAGAAGTCATGGAATAAGAAATTAGATTAAGTCAAAGCCTCAAACTCTCAAAATCTCAAAGTTAGTAAAGTAGGGAAGAGGTTATCTTCTCTCAGGACCCGTAGAAATTTTGACTATTTCAACCTCTTCGCTTTTTCTTCGTAAAATAAATTTAATCATTCCATCGAGGGGGGAAAAAAAATCAGCTGCTTTGAAATCGGCCAAAAAACAAATCGATTGCTTTGAAATTCGCAAATTACATAGTGGTTGCTGCGAAATCTCCAAAGCAATGGTTGACGAACTCAATTATTTTTATATATTTTGGTATCTTTTATATGAGTTTTGTCAGCTTAATTGGTCCCTTTTTGCCTTAATTGATTTATTTTATTTTATTTTGAATTATTATTTTATAGGGGCAAAATTGTCATATTTTGATTTAATTGTGACTAATTGATTTTTGAGGACAATTAATGCTACCTTATCCTTGAATTTTGCTTGCAGGTTCTTGGAAGATTTAAAAATTAAAAAAAAAAAGGAAAAGAAAAGAAAAATAAAATAATAATAATAATAATAATAATAATAATAATAATAATAATAGGTGGGGCAAAACGTTGCGTTTTGCCCCACCCTAATAATTCAATATTCATCATCTTCTCCGGGAGGCGGGGGGACGCAAGGAATAGAGCACACACACGCCACCGAGCAAGCGGGCTGGAGGACACAGGAGCTGAGGTGCGGCGGACAGAACGAGCAGACGCACCATGCCGAGGAAGCACTATTCATCATCTTCATTGGCAGCGTGAAACAGAGGAGACGGCACAATCACAACCTCCAGCATTCTCTCCGTTCGCTGCTCACCTTCTTTGCGTCTTCTCATTGGTGGCAGAGAGAAGACGGCGTGGTGAAACAAAGGAGACGGCCGTGCGAACAGAGTGACAGCAGCGTGAACAGAGTCGACGGTTCTCTTCACTCCTCCTTCAATATCCTTCATGGCTGGATACGGTGGATTGCTGGTGGCAGCGAATTTGATGGCAAACCGTGGCTAATTCATAATTCTCTAATTCAACAATAATGGCAGGAGCTTGAATCATCAAAGGGGAGTTTTAGTTGCTTTAATTTCCTATTCAATAATTGTTTAACAATTTCTAGGTCTTAGGATAGTTTTTCTGATTATTGGGATAATTGTATTGCTTAATCTGACTATATTTGGGGATTATTGTGACTGGATTATTGTTTAGCATTTGACATTGGGCTGTTTATAGCTTTGATTTCAATTATAATGTTGTGGTTATGACATTTATATTGATTTTGGAGTTAATATATTGTGATTTTCTAAGGTGGCTTAGAATTTTGGATCATATAGTCTCTTACTAGCTTTAATTTTGTTATTTTGGATTTAAGAGTTCTAATTAAGCATTAGTTTTTAGCATCCTTAATCCCATTTTACTATTCTGGTTGCAGTTAGTAAGTTGGGATTTTAGGAAAATATTTTGTGGCAACTCGAGGTGGCTCGGTTGTTGGATCAAAAGCTTAATTATAATTCTTAATTCATTGTTTTTAACTCCCACATCTTTTAGAGTGATGATTGCCTGCGTTGTTGAATTGGAGGATTGATTATTATCATTGTTACTTGTGTGTCTCATTTTCATTTCTTTAATCTTCATTCATTTTAATCATTTTTACATAAAAACAAGTATTTTAATTTCAATTTAATTCAAGGCATTTAGTTAGCAATTTTTCAAAATCAAATAAAAAATCCTTTTTATAATTTAGGTTACTTGCATTTATTTATTAGGGTTTAATTTCGTTTTCGGCTCCTCAAAGTGAAACGACCTGGGTTGTGCACTATATTGCATTAATTCGGTTAATTTTTGGAGTAACCCCAAAGCGACAATTAAGGGAAGTTCAACTTCAATGGTATTCATCCTTCATTTTGATTTAATTTTTTAGTATCCGGATTAAATTTTATTTCTTTCTAAACTGTAATATTTTTGTATAAAACTAAAATATATATTAAAATACAATCTTTATTTTAGAATATTTCTGTATAGAAAACTAAAATAAACGTTTTTATATCATTACTTAGCCACATCCATGTTTGAAGCTAGCATAGTAGATGTAAGGGATCTTTGGATAAAAACCAAACTACGGTTTTAAAAATAATTTTACAGAGTTCAAGATGAAAATATGAGAAGTTTTATCTCAACTTGCTTGAAAGTATTTTAAAATGCTTTTAAAAAGAACTGTTAGGACCAAACACACATAATCAAAGATGGAAGTCTTTCTTTGACTAAACACAGAGAAGACTTATGCACCTAAAAGATTTATGTTCCCAGCTTTTGAAAAAGAGAAGCAGCTTCAGACTTCAGGAACCCAAACTATCTTCTTATTTTTTGTTATTTTCTTGCCACTTCGATAGCACTTTGTGAGATGGCTAACTCAAATTACCATTTCTTTGGCGATCAGTGCGTTCCCATGACATTGTTTGTAGTTTTGTTGTTAATAGGTCGGATTGGAGCTGGTGATGAAGCAGGTTCACTAATCCTGGAAGGGAAGAAATTGATAGTTGGTGTTCCTAAGAGATGTGACTTAACAAATATTTCGTGGATTTAAAACTGGATTCTACAAATAAGAGTCAGGTGGAGAAGGCTCAGGGCTATTCCATTGAGATTTTCAATGCTGCCATAGCCTCCCTTCAGAATATTTCCGTCGAGTATATGGCCTTCCCAGACGAAGATGGAAGTTGCGTTGAGGATTACGACGCACTCCTCGACCAGCTCTCTAAACGAAAGGTTAGAGACTATTCAGCCTTGTATAAATCTTTATTTTAATGTTGATTTGACCAAGATCTCTTCTGAAGTTTAATGAAATGAAAATGGAGAAGGAAAAAGGTAGACCCTAGTCCTGCCGATTTGGATTGAATTTACAGAGGTTTTAAACAGCAGTAAGTTCATGCACAAGGTTTGCGGAGACAACGTGTCCATGTTGTTCAGATTTTACTAATCATTCTATTTGGTGCCATAACAAGAGCTTGATACGCAGTGATGATAGCTTGAATATCTGACCTTTTCCTTTTGTAATAATCAGTACGGTGCTGTGGTGGGAGATGTGACAATTATGGCAAATCGTTCCAACTATGTGGATTTTACCTTGCCGTATACCCAATCTGATGTGAAAATGCTTGTGAAGCTTCGACATGATCCACGCTTGAATATGTGGATCTTTATTCGACCTTTTAGTTGGGATCTGTGGCTGTCCATCGCCATCGTCTGTGTTTTCGTCGGAGGTATCATACTATTCATGGAAAGGAATGTTAAGGAAGATTCAGGACTTGAAAATTCGCCATTTAAGAAGCAACTAAGTGGGGTTTCTATTCTATGGTTTCCTGTAGTACAAGCAGTTCTTCCTGAAAGTGAGTTTTCGTTTCATCGCCATCATATTTAACATAATTTGTTCCTAAAAAATTTGTTTACTCCATATTTTTACTGTATTGTTTTGGATTTAAATTTCTATATGCAGAAGAATCATTGGCCAAGAACTGCTCTAGGTTTGTGCTTGTGTTGTGGTTGATATTAGCATTTGTGCTAATGCAAAGCTACACAGCATGCTTGTCATCAATCTTGACAGTACATCAGCTGCAACCTCGTTACCTAAGTGAGTATGATGTTATTAATGAGCCCAACATTAACATTGGATATTATGGGGGCTCTGCCGTCAAAGGCTTGTTGCTGGAGAGATTAAAAGTTCACAAGTCAAGGGTGAAGAAATATTCCACCATGGAACAATATAAGGAGTTCTTAGATAAAGGAAGCCGTAAAGGTGGTGTTGATGCTATTTTTTATGAAGTTCCCTACATCAAAGTGTTCCTCAAAGAATACGGTTCTAATTATGCCATGATTGAAACTAGGCACCGCACTGATGGATTTGGTTTCGTGAGTTTCCATCTCTTATTCATTAGATTTTGTTTTTGTTATCAAGAGTGTTGTAACATATCTATCGATTTTTTCAGGCATTCCCCAAAGGCTCCACATTAACTTCACACTTTTCCAGAGCCATATTGAATGTGCGCGAGAGTCCAGAAATGGATGAAATTGAGCATAAATATTTTGGAAGCAGTAACAACGATGAAGGCCAAAGCCCATCTAATTCATCGTTAGATGATGCAAGTTCAAGCAGCCTCACTACTTATAGCTTTGCAGGTTTGTTCATGTTAATTGGAGTTTTTTCACTGTCAGCTTTGATAGTCTCTGAAAGTCGTATTTGGCAAAAACCTATTATAGCAGCAAAAATGTATATCCAAAGATTCTTGAGTCGGAGGTTCACAAGAACCAATCCATTAGAGGAAGGTTCTACGACAAGAAGAAATAATGTTGATAGAGAAGAAAATATATCAGAAGACAGAGCAGATGACCAAGGAAAACTGTCTATAGCATCTCTTACATGTGGGGATACCCAAACATTGCCTGTGTAACTGTAAAGTATACAGTGATGGTAGATTATCTCAGCAGTCAAGATTTTACAGTGAAGTAGTCAATTAAGTGGGAATGTTCAAATTATGTTTTTGGAGCTTATTGTGCCTATGAAATCCATATGTATAATTTTCTCTCGGAGTAATATAATTTTGGGTTCCTCAAATTTTAAATCATAAATTTTGATCCATCAAGTTTCTTTTCATTTAACTATTGATCTTTATAATTCAATAAAAACTTGGTCTATTTTGTCTTTTAAAGGATGAAAATGTATGATTTGGAACTTGATAGGCCAAAACTAAAATGAGAGCAAACTTTAAGGGTAAAAATTTTATTAACCCTTTTTCCCCCTTTTTTGGAGTTTTTCTCAAGGCTTGAGTTTGAGTTATTTCCCTTACTTTTTTTTATATTAGAAGTAATATACATACGGTGGATAAAAAATTCTAAGTTTGGGGGCAATATTATATATACTTAATTCTTATTATTTTTTTATGTTAACATTTTTTGATGGTGAAACATTCAGGTTGGAAGATTGAAAATATATTTTATAAAATTAAAAAATAAAATAAAATAATTGAGTAGAAGTTTTTCGCGGAAAATTTTATTGATAAGAAGGGGTTTAAATCAGAATATGTTAGCACTCTATATATTCAAAATTTGTAGAGCCTCGGTACTCTTTTTGTATGAAAATTAATTGGGTAATTCTCATCAATAAAATTTTTAATTAAAAACTCTTTTCCAGTTCTTCCAAGATAAATTCTTATACAAAATTAAAGGAGTAAATATGCATTTTCATCCATGTCATACGCCTATGTATGCGTGTGACAGACTTTTTAGAAAATATAACCGTTAACTGCACCCTTTGACGGGTATTGAATGACCCGCTCTCTGTGACTTGTACAATTTTGACTATTTTCTTCTGCTTTCACATCTACGAAATTATTCTAACATTCGACATGATTAAATTAAATTATTTGGATCGAAATCTCTCAAAGTAGAATATTAATGCATTTCAATATTTTATTTTTAAGTAGAACTTTTTATTGCTTTATAACATGTACATTTTAATATTATATAATAGGCAAGTTGCTCTTTGGAAAGCTTGGGACCAGCTGCAGCACTTCCTTGAAATTATTAATTTTTGACGGACTTTGGTGACCTTGACGAATCAAGGGCCCTGACTAACAACCATTATTCATAACTCAAAAGGGAAGCTTTATTTCATGGAAACAAAGGCGGATTCATGTTTAATAAGGGCCTTTGTGTAATTTAAAGATACAAGAGAAATCATACACCACTCTTGCCTTAAGTGTCTTACAGATAATTAAATTAATGATTTTTTTTTTAAATTTTATCCCCATTAAATATAACAAAAAATAGGTGACAAAATATACGATCACCTGTAAGCCGCGTGTATGACTTTGATATATCTTCCTATCTAGTATTCCTAAAGTAAAAGTCAAATCTGAAAGTTTCTTTACTATTTAATATGCAGAACTAATTGGCTACTAACAATTGCTCTAGGATATCAACAACAACCAAAAAGCTCTAGGTTCGTATTGCTTAATTATGTGAATGATACTAGCTTTTGTGCTAATGCAAATTTACAAAGCATCCTTGTCATCCGGCGTATTTGATAATATACGAGTTGCAACTAATTACCCTAGTGAGAATGACATTACAAGAGATTCTAACATCAATATATTTTGGAAGTAGCGATGAAGATGAAGTCCTAGAACAAAATAAGGGGTCTGGGTCTAAGAATACGAGTACTCGTCTCACCGCGATGCATAATTTTGGAGGTCTGTTCATTATTTGGAGAAAACCGATGATGTTGGCAAAAACTCGCAGCAAAACATTGGTGGTTCGATATTCTGAGAAAGCAAGTCAATTAAGGGAGGGTACGTTAACTCATCAATGAAGAAAGATAAAACAAACAACCAACAAACAGATGAAGTGCATGACGTGGAAGATGTACGCTAGATCTCTCTATCTCACCAAAATAGCTTAACCCATTTATTTAGACTCATATGAAGCTTATATGTTTCTAAGTTAAACCACTTTCTAATCATTCAGTATGTAACTTCATTGTCTATTCTAATATATTCTTTCGGGTTTGTGGAGATGCGTAATGATTGAGTCGCTGCTTTTATTTACAACTTCAATCAAAAGAGTATATTGTTGATGTTATATATTCTGGACCCTATCGAATGTGGAGACAGAGAAGGAGATCCAGTTTCTTCAAATAAACACACTCTCTCAAATTCGAATATTAATAAATTTCAATATTTTAGATTTAACCATAAATTTTAATTTTATTGTATTATAATACTTACATTTTAATATTGTATAATTTTATATCCATTTAATTTAAAATATTGAAATTTTATTAAAATTTGTACCTTAGATCTTTGTTTTTCAAAAGTAAATTTTACTTTTGAAAAACAAAGATCTAAGGTACAAATTTACTCGGAAGATTTCGCCCAGGTTTAAAGCTAAGTCTAAAGTCATGGATTCAAATGTTTTGACTCTTTTTAATTCTCTTCCCTATAGGCTATATATAGACCAAGGAACAAAAAACCGGACCGGAGACTAAACCGGTCGAGACAGTGGGTCAAGGGTCACTAGTCGGACCGGGATCGAACCGGGATTGGACCGGTCATATTAAAATAATATAATTTAATTCATAACATTAAAATAGAATAAAATTCATAAATAATAATTAGTTGAAAAAAGATAAAAAATTACAAAAGTAGTTTAAATATTTCATTGTACCAAGCAAACATTAATAAACTACATATCTTCATCGCTATGGAAAATCAAAATCATCATTAAAGTCATTGGCAATGGCATGGACCAAGACATCAACAGTTGGACAAGGAACACTAGGAGTGACAACATCATCATGCAAAGGTGGAGGATCAGCAATATCCATATCTTCATCACCTATGTAAGACAATAAGCAATATTAATGATTATGCAAATAATTATATTCATCTAAGAATAGAGTGTTAATTATATATATAAATCTTCATTATCCCTCTCAAGAGTTGTTGAATTTGCAATGCTTTCATTGTTAATGACACTTTCAAGTGTAGCCACATCTCTATCATCAAACTCTGGAGTGGGATCTTCTTCAGTCACCCAAAAGTCCACCATGTCAATATTTTCATAGTCAATTGGATCATAACTTTTCTTCTTCTTCAATGTACTCCTTTAATGACAAATAAAACTTCAGTTAAACATAAATCAATTAAAATAAAAGACTAAAAGTATTCATTATTTTCAAGATTACTTATGCTTCAACCGCAGATTGTAGTTTGTGAACACCAAATCATTCAACCTCTTATGTTCCAATCTGTTTCTTCTTTTTGTATGAATTCTTTCAAACAAACTCCAATTCCTCTCACAACCAGAAGAAGCAGAAGTTTGACTAAGAATACGCATTGCAACACGCTGCAATTCTGGAACTGAACAACCATAATATGTCCACCATTCATCTACATAATAAAATACATTTCGTATACAATAGTATAAGAATTAGTAAATAACTATGAATATACTATAAAGTATTAACACTTACAAGGGTCTAATTTTTGTGCAGCTTTTTGACATGAGGGTCTACTAAAAGATTCCTTGCCTTCACGATAAGTAGTTGCTTGTTTCATTACCAGAAAACCATCAACATCTTCATCTGAGTAAGACTCCACATCAATCAACGCCATCATTAACTTTGACTTACTAGGACAGTCTGGATCATATATGATTGTAGAATTCAACAAATATGATGTTGCATGAAGATTAGTCTTCAAATGCCTGTCCCATCGAGCTTGAATGATGCTTGTGTAGGGCTTATACAACTCCTTGTTCCTTTTAAACATCTCTTTAATCGCCACTTTTGCCCTTCGCATGCCTTCATAAACATAAGGCAATGAAGGCTTCTCATCTGAATCCACAATTCTCAACAACTTTATGAGAGGCGACACAATCTTCACAACTTGATAACAATCATTCCAAAACCGATTATCTAATATGAGGGCACTAAAATTTTTTCCTGCCTCAGTCCTGGATAATTTGTGATCCACAAAATGCTTATCAACAACTAGAGCTTGCAAGTTATTTTTGTGCATATATATACTATGCAACGTAATAAATGTAGTAGCAAATCTTGTGGCACCAGGACGTACAATTTCTTTCCAACTCGATCTTTTCCTCAACCATGATAGGAAAACCATATGGTTGTATGCAAAAATTGTTATCTTTGAGGCTTTTGAAGCAAGGTCTGACACATGAGGCATGCTGGAAAAGTCTTTCAATACAAGATTCAAACAATGAGCAGCACAAGGCGACCAATAAATATTTTTATACTTTTCCTTAATCAGCCTACCACATGCTACATAATTGGCTGCATTGTCAGTCACTACATGGACAATGTTCTTAGGACCAACCCACTCAATGACTTCACAGAATAGAGTAAATAGAGTTTTGGCATCTTTGACTAAATCTGATGTATCAACAGACTTCACAAACACCATACCATGTGTAGAATACACCAAAAAGTTTATCAAAGTCCGTTATCTAATGTCAGTCCATCCATCAGCCATGAGTGTGCAACCATTGTTTTTCCATTTAGCTCGATGGCTCTCAATGAGTAACTGACATTCTTTTCTCCAATCACTCAATAAATTAGTTTTGAAATCATAAGCACTAGGAGCTTTAAACCCAGGCCCAATTGAAGCAATACCATCCACAGCTTTTTGAAATAAAGGGCAATCAAATGCCTTGAATGGAATACAGTTTACAATGGCCCATTCAGCAATCAACATTTTCACATTGTGTTTTGCTTCTTTAGTTGCTAATGCACTTTTAATGCCTGGTTGGGAATCAGAAGCTGTCCTAGGAGCAAAGTAATTGTCCAAACTCCCAGGAGCTCTCCTCTTCGTCCCACTACTCATAGTAATTGGAGAATCAACATGGGTTTCTTCTAGGTCCTCTTCTATGTTTTCAACAGCCTTTTTCTTTGAACATTCTTTCAAAGACTCTATCATTCTATGACGCACATCATGTGAAACTTTTTTGCATGAAGCTATTTGACCAGTAACACCAGCAAGATGTTGTTTCATTCTGTTTATCCCACCTCCTCTATAATTATTACCACAAAAAAGATATGTATATGTAGTTTGTGTCCCCTCTTTTTTGTAGGCAACATGTGCCCATGCAGGATCAGATTTACCACGCAATGAAGAAGTCGGGGTGGGAGAAGAGGTTTCAGTATTAGGAGTGGAAGATTGAGTGACATTTTCATTTCCAGAACTTTGATTGTTTGGAATATCCATAACTGCTATTAAATAACAAATCAAAAATTAATAAAAATGATCAAACACAAACAATAGAGCCACAAGCTTCAGCCTTTCAGGAACCACTTCAAAACACAAATTTGGAATATGCAATGAAAGGCAGAACTAGAATTAGGAACACAAGTACACAACATCAATATTCAGTGAAAGGCAGAACCAGAATATCAGCCAACACAACATCAATATTCGGTGAAAGGCACAACCAGAATTAGGAACATTCAGTGAAAGGTAGAACTAGAATTGTCAAATACAAACTACTGGTCGTCTGGTCCACAACCACAACATCAATATCAGCCAACATGCCAAAATATTTCCAATCATCATAAAGAATCATATTAATCCATAGAATGGTAGAAGCAAAACTACTGGTCGGTCCACAACATTAAGATCAGCCAACATGCCAAAATACTTCTAACATTGTTTATTTGTTCTAATTTCACTTCTGTTCAGCATAGCAATTAGTGAATAAAATCAATTAATGAATAGTTAAGTACCGGTATTCAATAAATTAGCGGCAAATCAGCGGCGCAGAGCAACCTGTGACCACCAAACTCAACGAGCAGAGGCGCAGAGCAACCCACCAGCACCGCTTCTCCACTCTCCACGGCAAATCAGCGGCGCAGGGACACCGGTCGACCACTCAATGAGCAAAAAATGCCGAATACGGACATCGATTGACCACCAAACTCAACGAGCAGAGCAAACCCACCGGCACTGCTTCTCCACTCTCCAGGACAAATTAGCGACGCAGGGACACCAGTCGACCACTGAACCAAACTCAACGAAGAAGGAAATGCCGAATACGGACACCAGACCACCGCGCCTCCACCTCCACCACAAGTCGACGGCGCTGTCTCCACTCTCCACGGCACCGCTGTCTCCACTCTCCACGGCAAGTCGACGGCGCTGCAAGGGAGAACGGCCGGACGCTCAAACTCAGTTACTTAGCGAAATGAAGGACGATGGGAATGGGGGAAGGGATCTGCGATGTGCGATCTGCTCATCTGCCAAGCCAGGACGAAGGAGGGAATGGGGGAACCGGGCATTCGACCGATCGGTCGAGTGTAGGATCGAACGACAGCGTCCCAAAATTTTTTTTTAATATGATATGACGTTCGTTTTGGGCAGTTTGAGGAGAAAAATATATAACTGGTCAACCCCCCAAACCGGGCGGTTGACCGGTTTATTACTAGTTCACTTGGTGACCAGTTTTCTTGTTAAACCAGACCGGACTTTGGACCGGTTTTCCGGTTGAACCGGCCGGTCCGGTCCGGTTTTTTTTTCATTGATATAGACATATAGTAAAAGATGTCAATTTTTTTTAAATAATTTTTACTACACAATTAAAACTCAAACTAATCAGTCATCATGCATGCGCGTGCATTAATTAGATGAAACAAGCCATTATATTAGATTAAGCTCTTCATGTTAAAAGTACTCCTTCTAGTCTTCATTATAAACTTCAAGTAACTAATTTACAGATAACTTTGACAAAAAAAAAACTAATTTACGGATAAAAATAATTAGTTTAAAACAGTAAACGGGTTAGAAATAGATTTTTGTTTTCAAATATATTCTTATAATAAATGAGAAAAAGAATAAAAAAAACATGTGGGAAAATGCGATAAAAGAGAAATAAGTAAGGATAATACTGAAAAAATATATTAAATGTTAAGACAAAAACAAATTAAAACTCATAAAATAAACCACATGTCTTTTCAAATTTAAAACTTATAAATAAATACAGGGAAAGTAATTAACTAAACGGGGGCTAGAAATAGAATCATTTGGTGGCGTCTTTGTCCTTTGGTCAAAATAGGAATTCAGTCCTTTCCAACGATCGGTGTATGTTGAACTGGTCAAAGGTCGTTCGGTAGGATTCAGATTCGAGGATCTGTTCAAAGATCCCCCCATCCACGTACTACTGCATCATATTCTTGGTTTGAGAGTCCAAGAGAGCCCCCCCGCTTCACTCAGGACAAATTCACTCGAAGACTACAACGAAGTTGCTGAGAAATCTCCTAAAATGAATGGTCTAGATGAATTTGCAAACATGCAACTCCACGTCTAGTTTAGACTATTCCGATTAAAATTAAATTAATTAAATTAAATTATGTGCATTTATTTTTGAAATACTGCCTTTTAATTATTATTTTTAAAATAGAAATAAATTCAAAACTTAAGGATTTTATTTTGCCAACGAAAACTTAATAAGAATTTTAAATAATATAAATTCGTTGTCAAAAAAATATAAATTCAATTTACTATTCAAATTAACTTTTTATTTACAAAATAATTATTTCATGCCGTATTTTAAAACGATGGCGAAAACTATTCAAAGAGGAAATATCTGGTCTTTCTGAAAATTTCCCAGTTACATCCTTCCGTGTATGCTAGCGAAACGAGACAGGTGGACTGGAACATTCGAGGCTTGAATCAATCAAAGCAAGCTTAGGCTTTCTTTCAGACCAAGTCTCTCTAGTGAATAATCACCGACATACCGTTAAGTTCATACGCACATTCATTAGGGACAAAAGCATATAAATAAAACGAAGGTGGCACCCATTAAGAACTCAGAACTGACTAGCACTAGCTTCTTCATTTTTCTTCAGTATCCTGCCGCACATATACAGCACTTTTATGAGATGGCGAACCCAAATTACAATCGCTATGGCTTCCTCATGATGATTTCTTGTGTTGTGTTGCTAATAGCTCCGACTGGTGCTGGAGATGATGATGGAGGGAAGAAGTTGATAATTGGACTTCCTTATTATAAATCAGGTTTCGCCCAGTTTGTGGATGTACAAATCGATCCTACTAATAACAATAATCAGGTCGTCCAGGCTAGCGGCTATTCTATTGCCGTCTTCAATGCTACAATAGCCTACCTTACGCGTTTACATCACGGTATTTCTTTCGAGTTTAGAGCTTTCGTAAACAACAATGGAAGCAGTGCTGGGTATTATGACGCACTTGTCTCCCAAATTTCTGCAGAAAAGGTGAGATGTTATTCAAACTTGCAGAATGTCAATGTTCTTCACTATTTGCTGGTGTTCTCAATTTATATCCTTCATTCTATTTAGTGTCATAACCATGAATGCACACACAGACATTAACGGCTATCTTTTTTCCAATGAATAGTATGACGCTGTGGTGGGAGACGTGACGATTTTGGAAAATCGGTTTAACCATGCAGATTTCACGTTGCCATATACACAATCTAATGTGAAGATGCTTGTGAAAATCCGGCATGATCCACGGTTGAACATGTGGATTTTGTACGACCGTTTAATTGGAGTCTTTGGTTGTCTATTGCTATCTTCTCTGTTTTTATAGGAGGTATCATAATATTCATGGAACGTAATGTCAGAAGAGATTCGACACTTGAAAATTCATCATGCAGGAAAAAATTCAGTGGGGTTTCTATCCTGTGGCTTCCTGTTGTGCAAGCAGTTTTTCCCGAAAGTGAGTATTAAACCTTGTTCTCTCTCTCTCTCTATATATATATATATATGCGCATATATAGGTTTGTGTCCTCGATGTTATTCGTTTAATTACTATTTAGTCTTCAAAATTTTCATTTGTTTACTATTTGCAGGAGAATCACTGGCCAAAAATTGCTCTAGGTTTGTGCTGGTGATGTGGTTGATATTGGTATTTGTGCTCATGCAAAGCTACACAGCATGCTTATCATCTATCTTAACGGTACATCAATTACAACCTCGATACCTTAGTGAGAATGATGTTGCAGAAGATTCCAACATTAATGTTGGATACCACAGTGGCTCATTTGTGAGGGACTTATTGGTTGATAACTTGATGATCAATAGTTCAAGGGTGAAGAACTACTCCTCCATTAAAGACTATAAGGAAGCCTTAGACAAAGGAAGCCATAATGGTGGTGTCGATGCCATTTTTGATGAAGCTCCCTACTTTAAGGCCTTCCTCAAACAGTATGGCTCCAATTATGCCGTGGTTTCAACTAAGCACCATGCTGCTGGATTTGGTTTTGTGAGTTTCCATCTCCATTTTCTTGCTTCTCTTGTTGTCTCATTTATATTTAAGGTTACTGTCTCTGACATGTCTCTGTTGAATCATTTGAATGATTTTTCAGGCATTTCGTAAGGGCTCCAACTTAACCTCGCACTTTTCGAAAGCCATATTAAATATTAGGGAGAGTAATGAAATGGACGGCATTGAGGAGAGATATTTTGGAAGCAGCGATGACGATGGAAACAAAGATCAATCAAATTCATCATCAAATGCGAGTCCCAGTCTTACTGCTTATAGTTTTGCAGGTTTGTTTATGGTAATTGGAACATTTTCATTGTTGGCTTTAGCAGTCTCTGAAAATCATATATGGCGAAAACCTGTTATGCTCGCAAAGACTTATAGCCAACAATTTTTGAGTCCGAATTCAACAAGAATTAATCCATTAGAGGAAACTTCTACCAGAAATGTTGACAACGAATGTTCTGCAGACACAAAAAATATTGGATCTGCAGAAAATGAAGCAGATAATAAAACATTGCCTGTGTAAGTGTGTTTGTATAGAGTGATGGCAGGCCATTTTTGCGGTGCCCGTTCGTTAGTTAGGTTGTAGTATTCATGTTTGTTGTTAAGAGTTAACAAGGCCTATCATACCATGTGTAGATTCTTTTTTTCTCTCCTTTTCTTGTGACTAATTTGCATTACTTTATTGTGGAGAAAAATATTACATCTGTACACAGCAAAGTATATAATGGATTTAATAATAGAAAAGAACATATCTACTCTTCTGATTCTAAATGTAAGTTACACTATAAAATGGGTCCTAAAGAGTTAAAAAAGAGTTTAGACTGTTTCTGCAAACTTGAAAATTAACCGTATCTACTCATGACACAAATCGATCAGCAGCACATAAAGAGAGTCAATGAATTATTACTTTGCTCAAGATAAAGTGCGGAGCGAGTTTTTGAAATTAGATGGAATCTCCCATTTGTGCTAACTAGCTGCCATCAAGTGAAAACCTATATCAATATGAGAAAACCTAAAATCATTATTGTTAAGGAAAATTGAAAATCTTGAACAGATCAGTTGAACATATTTTTATTATTTTGCTTTTCTTTTACTGATAATAAACTAATTTTCAAAGGGACGCAAACGTTTTCCCTTCACTTTCCCTGTATTATTTTCCAACCAAATATGCCTTGGCCTTTACGTCTTCAATCTGGTAACTTCAGCTCAGGCCAAGATAAAAAAAGTCTCGTTACTGCCACAACAAGTTAATGTTCGCCGCAAAAAGTCAAGCTTAATTTTGTCTTTTGTCCGCGGAAACAGATGACCACGTTAACAAGACAAGCTATAAATATCACTTGCGTCATTTGTTGTTATATTTATCATGCTATGTACTAAATCCCCACAAAAGTCTCATAAATTAAAGCCATAAAGGGCCCTCCGAGGAAATTGTATGCCAACATCACCATCGATCGAAATTTCAAGGAAATTAACCACCCATCTCAAACTTCCTCTCTTTTCATACTCCCCTCCAGAAAAAAAAAAAATAAAAAAATCTGCAGCTGAATGATACCAAGTGAAGATATGAGTAATCCGGGTGAATGGACCAAGTGACTTGATTTAATTCCTGAACCATGTTCTGTATTTATAGGCTAAAAGTGACAAAGTGTTAACAATACTACAGCTATGATTAAGTTCCAGGGCAAATCGTTATGAGGTCCCGAGAAATAACTGCAATTACTAAAATGTCTCAATGATAAGTAAGCATTATAGATATTGTTATCATTTCTTATACTAAAATTTATCATTTAATTTATTTATTGTAAGTATGCTGATTTTTCCTAACGTGAGACCATACATAACTATAACTGACTTGTGGCGTATCCTAACAGGGCATTTCAAGCCCACAACTGGTTTCTATTTAGTTTGTTGTTTCTGTATTGGGCTTCGGCCCGTCTAAACCAAAACCAAAAAGGGGAAAAAAGGAAAAAGAGAGCATAGTTTGATTACCGAACTATATAAGCCTCATCTTATATGGCGTTTTGTTAATTTGTTTTGGACTAAGCAAAATGTGACTGTTCATAAAGGTTGTATAAACAATCCAGAACAAGTCATTTAAAATTTCCAAGACTATTTTCAATACCTAATAAAAATTTATAATTAGAAATATCTTTCAAGTAATTCTGAAGCTCCTCCTTCAACTCCTATCTCTTTTCTACCTAAACTCCGACTGCATTCAGAACATTCGCAGATTTGCATAGCACTGGACAATATTCATGTGCAAGGTTAAGATTCAAAGACATGCCTCTTGTATTACCACAATTTTTCTTGGTTGTAAAGAAATATAGACTTTCAGATAGGTGAAACTTCAATCTTTATATCCTTTTCTGTTTTGCCTTTCTTGTTTGAAACTAATGTTGCATTGGGTTACTCAAGTTGAGCCAACTTTTTCAACATTCTTGAATCATATCAATGTCATCACATGCCAGAAGAATTTGCCCAATGATCCTTTTGTCCATTCAAATTTCAATATTGGCACGTTACAAAAAGATGTTTTCACTGCTTTACTCTTTTTCTAGCTGCTACTCTTTTAAAACTGATATTGTGTTAACTTTTCATTCCCTTGTTTCTGTTATTCCAACTTTAGTTGTATAATTTTCTACTTTTTATAAAATTCATCTTTTTTATCAGAATTTTTTTCCCGGATATCCACAGATCTCAGGCCACGTAGGTATGCTTGGCTGAAAACATTTTGATAGAGATAAAAAAAAAATCAGTATAACATATATATGATACAATCATTTTAGCCGAGCCAACTCACACATCCAAACTATTCCTCTCTTCTTTAATTGTTCACAACAACGGCGACAGCTTATACTAGAGAACTTCTGGCTCACGTATGGGGAGTGCTGCAAGATTATTTGATGACAATGATAGACTTGAGTTTCAAGTTTCAAAATTTCCACCACGCTCATTGTTTCATATATACTTTCATCATCCCTTCTCTCTCTCTTCATTTCCTCTTTTTACTTTCTTGAGGCATGTCCGCTGTTTCTTTATTTCTCTTGTTTCTGTCTGCCTCGTTGAGCGGGTCGCTGCCAATGGTAGCTCCACTTTTGCCAAAATAAAAAGAAGCCTAATTACAGGTTTAAGGAAGAAATTTTCTGGGATGCCTTTATGACCTTGGGTGAGATTGCTAAAAATATGTCTTAAAAGCGCTCAACATAACAATGACCTAGTATTAATTGCTTGATTTGAACGGAAAAATTCAAGGAATAAGAAGAGGATGAGACGAGAGGTTTCAAAGGTGGGGTTTTTGTTCATTCTTCCTCATTTTTCAAGGTCTGCTCGCTGCTCACTCTCTTTCATCCCCACCTTCATGTTGTTTTCCATTTTTATTTTTCGCTGTTTTTCTCACCGTCTTCTTCTTCATTACAAAGTTTTTGGAGAAGTTACCCGTTCGGAACCCAACGAGGCAACGACTTTAGGTGAGTCCAGCTTCTTATGGCATTAATGATTATAGGCAGGCTTTTAATAGATTAGGTTCGTATTTATCTTTTCCCTCGCAGTCTATTCCTATCTATAAGTGGCTTGTATTCTAAGCCCACAGATCAATAAATGTATTAATTTTTTTTTTCATATTTGTCCTTATTCAAGAAAGGGTACTAAAGATATATTTTATAGTTTTTCTCACTTATTTACTTTATCTCTCTTTGTATTTATTAAATCAGTAAGAGTAAAATTGGAGAAAGCTCATTAATTATGCTCTACAAGCAACTTATATTTAAAAACAAATTTTTTTCTATACAAGTGACATGTAAATAGAAATTGAGTAGTATTTAGTTGCTTATAGAATCCAATCACCATGATTACAATAAAGATAATTTTTAACCTTTATCTAAAGAAAAGGTTATTCTCCCTTTGTCAACATGTCTATGCTAGGTTGACAGATACATTTATGTTCTATTAACAAACCGTCTATTTACTCAGTTAAATTTCTTGACTAGCACATTTTTATCAATAGTTCACAGATTAATTTAACTATCTCAAGTTTAAACTAATCAAACAATCAATCCTAATGATGGCCAGTCACAAGGAAGCATTAAGCACAAGGTAAAAACAACTGAATATTATCATTAATACTCAAGAGATAGTAAATCCAAGTCTCAATCCATATAATAGATCAAAATAACCTTAGAAAAACTGATTTAGCTATACATGTTTAGTAAGAAGTCACAACTATAAGAATAGCTATTAGCCATTACAGAAACAAGAAGGGAAGAAGAAGGAAACCCAGAAAAATCGAGTAAAAATCTTCAAATCTCTTCTAGCTTCGAGCCCAAAGATTTCAAGCCTCTAAAGCTTTAAACCCTAGCATAGCAAGCCTCTAAAATTGCCCCAGAGCCGAAGTGTGTATGGCAAAACCGAGTCTCCCCCTGTATATGCCCTAATTTTTAATTTACATCATAAAACGCACAGCTGCGAGGGGTCAGGCGCCGCGACGTATGTTGTCATCCACCGTGGCGGATTACATAGAATGGCTTTCCTGGAAGTAGCTTTGGCACTGAGGCGTGTGTGATCATAGGCCACGGCGGATTACACCGAACAGGGGCTCCTTTGGGATAGCTTGGGCACCGCGGTGAATATGGTTAGGAGCCGTGGTGTCTCACACAGAAGTGCACTCCTTCCTCTCTATTAAAGCTATTGTGGCATTTGTTCCCATGCGCCGCGGTGATTGGTCTCTTTTTAGCCTCTCCACTTCTGGTCTCCATTCCTTACTCGCTTCAGGCTTTTTCCTACAAAATTGACTTCCAAACCAAACAAAAGAGCACTAAAACAAGTTGAATGAATAGGAATTTTGAGAGGTTATTAGAGGTTTCCAAGAACTAATTGATTCATCAGAGGAAGGTTCTAGAGGAAGAAGAAGAAATTGGATCAGATGGCAGAGCAGATAACCAAGGAAAACTCTCTCTATGACATCTCTTTCTTTCTGGTTTTTAGGGTCAAGTCTCTAAGACAGCTCTTACATGTGCAGATACTCAAACATTGCCTTAAATGAGGGTCAAAAAATCATATAAAAGTCTTTTCAAAAAAATGTCTAAAAATCTCTTCTTTTATGCATTTATCTAATTATCACTCTTCCGATTCTAAATATAAAACCCATTTTATAATGTAATTTATGCTACAAAATGGGTTTTATATATTGGACAGTTGCTCGAAATATTTTCATGCATGTTATGGCGTTTTGCTTCCCGTCTCTTTGGACGTTAGTAGGAGGACGGGTCAAAGGTAGTTAATGAACACTTTGAACTGGGTCGACTTTAAGATGGCCTCTCGGCCACTCGGGTCAAATTATCTCGCGGATGGCTATAACGAAGTTGCTGAGAAATTAATTTTCCTAATTAAAATAATCAATGGTAAGCATCGTTCATCTAGAACTTGCAAACATGCGAGTCCACATCTAGTTTAGACTATTTTTTATTAAGTTTAAATTATTTAAATTTTATATCACACTTTAAAAAAGCATAATGAAATGCTGTCATTTAATTACTATTCCTTAAATTTTTATTTAACATAGAAATAAAAGCTCAACTATTAAATACTAAAAACTTGAATAACATAAATTAAGTTGTTATTTACGAAATAATTATATTATGCCGCATGTTTTCATCATTAAAACGATTGCGAGAAGTATTCAAAGACGAAGTATTTGGTCTTTCTCAAAATTTCTAGGTTCAACCTTCAATGGATTCTTCAGCGAACGCGCGAGACAGCTGGCTGGACCGGAACATTTCATCAGGCTTGAATCAATCAAAGCATGCTTATGCTTTCTTTCTGCAGGCTGACATCATTTAGTTAGTTCATAGGCACGTTCATTAGCTAAAATAACTGTATAAATAAAGCTAAGGTGGCAGCAATCAAGAACCAGCTCGAAACTAACTAGCTAGTTTCTTAATTATTTCTTCACTTTTCCTACCGCATGTATATCAGATGGCGAACCCAAATTACTATTGCTACGGCTTCCTCATTATGATTTCTCCGGTTGTGTTGTTAATTGCTCCGATTGGTGCTGGAGATGATGATGGAGGGTCACTCCTGGGAGGGAAGAAGTTGATCATTGGACTTCCTTATGAACCAGGCCACACCCAGTTTGTGAATGTTGTGCAAATCGATCCTACTAATAACAATCAGGTCATCCATGTAAGGGGCTATTCTATTGACGTCTTCAATGATGCAATAGCGTACCTGCGTCTACATCACAATGTTTCTTTCGAGTTTAGAGCTTTCGCAGACCCCAGTGGAGGAAGCAGTGCTGGGTATTATGACGCCTTCGTCTCCCAACTTTCTGAAAAGGTTAGATGCTTTGTACACACACACACATCATCATCATCATCATTATCGAGATCTCAGTGTGTTGTTGCTGAAATAGAGAGAAAAGTACGTCCGACGTCTCTATGAACATGGGTTTCATAGGGATCGGGTTCATCCTCTCTCTCCATGTCAGCACCACTACAATTTAAGAGTTCTACTTCCATGGTTCATGTTGGTTTCACCTTACGTATATTGAGCTGACTAAAAAAAAAAAAAATCCAGAGGCGTGTCCGTTCCTCTAAGCACCAAATTAAACATAATTTTAAAGCACGATTAAAATTAAACTTGACACCAAGCTTATTAATCCAACCTAACTTTGTGTACATCCAAACAGCTCAAATATTTATGATGGTGTTGGTTAATATTTTTGCTCGACACCAACTTAATTGCTTTGCAAGTTTTATCTTACCCTTGTTTGGCTTGGAATCGCGTTTTTCTCCAATCAGGAAGTCATGGTCGGTTATATGAATGCGTTCTTCACTGTTTGCATGGCATTCTGAATTTATTCTTCATTCTATTTGGTGCCATATAACCATCAAAACGCACAACGACATTAACTTCAACATCTTCATTTCCCTTTTCCGTTAATTAATAGTATGACGCTGTGGTGGGAGACGTGACGATTTTGGCAAGTCGGTCGAACTATGCAGATTTTACGTTACCATATAAACTAGCTAATGTGCAGATGCTTGTGAAAATCCATGATCCACGGTTGAATATGTGGAGTTTTGTACGACCGTTTAGTTGGAATCTTTGGTTGTCTATCGCTATGTTCTCTGCTTTTATAGGAGCTATCATACTATTCATGGAACGTAATGTCAGAAAAGATTCAACACTTGAAAATTCATCATGGAGGAAACGATGCATTACAGGGGGTTCTGTCCTGTGGCTTCCTGCTGTGCAAGCAGTTTTTCCAAAAAGTGAGTATTAAACCCTGCTCTCTGTCCCTCTCAATATATATACATATGGTCTCAATATATATACATATGGTTGTGTCCTCGATGTAATTTGTTTAATTGTATTATTAGCTTTCTTTTCTCCCTGAAGTAACGCTTTGATCATTTCCTCTTTCAGAGACATACATAAACATTTTAGTTTTCAGAGAAAGGATATATATATATATATATATATATAATAAAATCTATAATATGGGTTATTGGCCAGAAAAGCCTGGTAAATTTTTATATACAGGAAGTAGTAATACTCTACAAATTCTATACATTAGGTTATTCTCATCAATAAAATTTTTAATGGGAAACTTTACATATCTCCAATTTTTCTTATTACTTACAGCCATAAAAATGCATGAGAAAATGTAATTAGTTATAAGAATGAAAAGAGAAATCTATATAATTTCAACAAAATTAAGAAACGTCTATATGATTTATCTAAAAGAGTTATTTATTACTTATATTTTTATGTTCAATTATCAAATTTGCATTTGTTTACTACTTGCAGGAGAATCATTGACCAAAACTTCTTCTAGGTTTGTGCTGATGATGTGGTTGATACTGGTATTTGTGCTCATGCAAAGCTACACAGCATGCTTATCATCGATCTTAATAGTGCATGAGTTACAACCTCAGTACCTTAGTGAGAACGATGTTATAAAGGATAGCAACATTAATGTTGGATACAAAAGTGGCTCATTTGTGGGAGACTTGTTGGTCAATAAATTGACAATGGGTGATGAGTCAAGGGTGAAGAATTACTATGGCATTGAAGAATATAAGGAGGCTTTAGACAAAGGAAGCCATAATGATGGAGTCGATGCTATTTTTGATGAGTCTCCCTACTTTAAGACCTTCCTCCACCGGTATGGCTCCAAGAATTATGCCGTGGTTGGAACTAGTCTCCATTATGGTGGATTTGGTTTTGTGAGTTTCTATCTCTATTTTTTGGTTTGTTTATACACTTAATTTTTTTATATTTGTATTTTTTAAAACTTAGAGTTGAAAGTTTGTTTTGAAGGTTTCTATATTTTACCTTTAAAAAAAAAGAAATTATTTTTTAAAATATAACATTTAAAACAAATCCAAATCATTTATGCTTTCTAAATTCAGATATATTGACAATATAATACATAGCTAGCGTTGTTGTTGTAACAGCAGCAGGGTAAGTGTGCTTCTCTTGTCGTCTCATTTATATTTAAGGCTGCCATTTGTGACATGTCTCCGTTGAATCATTTGAATGATTTTTCAGGCATTTCGTAAGGGCTCCAACTTAACCGCATACTTTTCTGAAGCCATATTAAATATCACCGAGAGTAATGTAATAATGAAAAGGATTGAGGAGACATATTTTGGAGACAGCGATGATGATGATGGAAAAGAAGACCTATATAATTCACCCTCACATGACGTTAGTCCCAGTCTTACTGCTTACAGCTTTGCAGGTTTGTTCGTGGTGATTGGGATTCTTTCACTGTTGGCTTTGCTAGTCTCTGAAATGCTCGCAAAGGTTGATAGCCAACGATTACTGAGTCCGAGTTCTGCAAGATTAAGTCCATTAGAGGAAGGTTCTGAAACAAGAAATAATGTTGACGAAGAATGTTCTGCAGACACACAAAATATCGGATCAGAAAATGGAGGAGATAATAAAACATTGCCTGTGTAAATGTGTGCGCGTGCGCGCGCAGTGATGGCAGATATTAGTTTTAGGCTGTAAAAAGTAACGTTCGAGTTTTTTATTAGAGTTGAGGTCTATGATACCATGTCTGGATTCTTTTTTTTTCTTGTGAGTTATTTGCATTATTTTCTTGGCGAAAACAGTTACAATGGCTTTAATAATTATTCAAGTAGGAAAGGAAAATATGTTATACCTTCAGTCCTTAACATAAGAATTAGTTTGATTTTCAATTTAGTCCTAAATATAATACATTAATCCACTTTCTCTCTCATATTTATTTAATATCTATGTATTACAAATAACTAACTCAACAAACTTTTTTAATTTACTCAAATTAATCAATTAACTCTTACATTCCTCTAGTCCTAAATATAAGACCCTTGTATACACTATACAAGGGTCTTATATTTAGACTTGGAGGAGTATTAAGTATAAGGGTAATATTATCAAAGGAATCTTCCACTTGCGCTGACTAGCTACCATCAAGTGAACACCTAAATGGACGTGCATTTGCTGTAAATATGATAAGTCACAGGAAAAATCCCGCTTACTGTATTTATAGGCTAAAAGTTACACATTGTTCCCGACACTACAGTGATTAAGTCATGGGAAAAACCCCCGAACTCCTATGAAAATAATACTCTATAATTACCAAAAAGTTTGATCACAAGTGAGTGAAACCGATGTTGCTGTTATTTCATGCACTGGAAATTAATTTTACGACGCATTTTAAAAGTACATTCTTTTCGGGGGATGTGTTGTGATTTTTTTAAGTTATAGGACATGTTTGGATCAACGTTTTCAACGGAAAACGTGCATTGGAATGGGGCAAACTAACATTACTAGCAGATAAATGTTCAAACTAATATTTGGATGAGCATTTTTGCAAATGAACTTTTGGGTAAAAGGATGCCTAACGCTGAAGCTAATTTTTTGAGCTTTTGCCGTCACAAACGTGGAGAGAGAAAAGATGGTAATGGAAAAAGACAAAATTACCCCTAACAAACCCAATAATTTGATACTTCATATTTTTAATATAAGAATTAGATAACTAATTTGAATATATTAATAAAATTAAATAAGTTACTTATTTATAATAAATTGATGTTATCTTGTCTAAAATATTTTTATTAATCATGTGTATTAAAACTACCCATTAATAAAAATTTCTTAATATGTATAATCATTACAGAGATTACTTGAGAACAAAATAAATCAATATTTTATAATTTCACAAATAAACTATTTTTATTTTATCATAATAGTTTTAGGTATTTTTTTTAACAATTATCATATTAAAAACATAAAATATCAAACATTACTATTCAATAAAGTCCATGCCCTTTTTAGTCATTTTACAACTAAACTCACTTTTCTATTAATCATCCAAACAACTTTTAACCTTTTCAACTGACTTTTTAAAAGCATCTATCCAAACATACCTTAACTGACTTTTACTTTAACTTCAGTTACAAAAATCAGTTGGGTTAGAAGTTAGTTTTACTCAACGATAATCCAAACATACCCATAACCATCACGTGAGCCCAACTGATACAAAGTTGTAACTGACACGTGGCTTATCCTAACAGGACGTTACAAGCCGACGCGTACGTGTTTATGTTTAGCTTGTTGTTTTTGCATTGGGCTTCGGCCCCATCTAAACCAAAACAAAAAATTTGATTATTGCTGTCAAACTCATCATGAGTTGACTTTTCAAGTGTAGTGGCGTCATGCTTTCACTTTATAAAATTGTCTTAAATTGCTCTTAAATTTGCATTAACAGCAAATTCAGTTAAATTCATGAGCCCACTCACTGAGATTATGATTTTTATGTTTTTAGTTTACAAAATTGTGACAACTTGCTCTTAAACTCATATTAAATTTTTGAATTTAGTTATGTTTAATAACTTTATATATAAATTTAAAAAAAATTTGTTGAATATGATAAGTTATGAACATTGATAAATTAATTTTAATTATTTAGATTCAAAATATATTTAAATCTTATTTTCTTATTTTTTTATATTTTAGTTATTTAATTATATACTTTTAATACCTATTTATTAATAAAAGTAAAAAATAAACTCTTAATTATTTGACAACTTGGCGTCATTACAGATGGCTGGCGTTTTGTTTTGGATATTCTCAGATCTCTGGCCACGCACGCATGCTTCGCTGAGAACATTTTGATGAAGATTTAAAAAAGAAAATCAATAGAACATGTCTATAACAGAATCATTTTAGCCGAGCCAACTTCGCAGATCGAAACTGTTCCTCTCTCTCTCTGTTTTCTTTTTCCCCCATTCACATGCACCCTCGTTCTTCATGACAATGTTTTTGGAATAGTTACCCGTTTGGAACCCAACGGCTTAATTTGGATTAATCATGATTCTAGAAATTGGAATATTGGATGATGTGCTTTCGCTGCCCCAAAAAAAAAAAAAACAAAAACAAAGTCGCCGTACGACTTGCCCACCGTGCACTGAATGGTGACATTTGCTGTTTCCGTTTCGGTTGCGGTCCAAGGTTAGGTATGAGGGAATCTTCTTTGTGGGACCTTGGAAATTTTGACTACTAATTTCTCCCTTATCGTTTTTGTCTCCTAAAATCAATTTAATCGGTTACTACGTCAAGTAATTAATGTAAGAATAAATTTAATTTTTAATTAGATCCTAAATATAATATTCTAATTTATTTTGTCTCTCATATTTATCTAATTTTTTTAAAATAGTTATTATAGAGTAGCACATGTTAAAGATTCTATCAATGATAGTTTTAGCTAATATACATGATTAGTAAATGTATTATAGAAAAATAACACCTATTTATTACAAATAACTAACTTAATAAATTTTTTTAATCTACTCAAATTAGTTAACTAACTAGTTTTTATATCAAGGATGAAAGATAGTACTTTGAAATTATGAAAATAAGCACATTTTCTGTTAAAGAATAGTAGCTAAGTACATAAAATCTCTTTCTTTGTTTTCTTTTTCCCCCCTTAAAAAAAAGGTCAAAGTTTTTCTCGAAATATTCGAGTTTCGTGGCTAATTTTGCCCTGTGTATGGTTCAGGGAAAGCAGTTGGATTGGAAAATTAAGACTTAATATCAATTACATGCATCTAGCTCAGGCTTGAGGCCAAGTCTCAAGCCATGGACTCAAATTAAAGCTCACGTAATTCATAAATTGACATCATCTTATGAAGCTTACATCGCAAATGCAATGATCCTGATATGATTACAAATGACTTTTCTAGACATATGTAATCCCCTCATCTGAATTTCTTCGAAATTATTAATTTACGTGCACAGCCTACTCACACTAATCTGTACTATAAATAGAGGCAGCTTCCCGCTTCAGGCTTCAGGAACCCAAACTACCTTGCTTCTCATTTTCTTTATTTTCTTGCCACTTCAACGGCACTTTGTGAGATGGCAAACCCAAACTACCATTTCTTTGGCGACCAGTGCGTTACCATGACATTTTTTGCAGTTTTGCTTTTAATAGCTCAGACTGGAGCTGGTGATGAAGCTGGTTCACTAATCCTGGAAGGGAAGAAGCAGTTGATAGTTGGTGTTCCTAAGAAATGCGGCTTAATAGATTTCGTGGACTTAAAACTGGATTCCAGAAATAAGAATCTGGTGGAGAAGGCTCAGGGCTATTCCATTGAGGTTTTCAATGCTACAATAGCCCTCCTTCAGAATATTTCCGTCAAGTATATGGCCTTCGCAAACGAAGATGGAAGTTGTGTTGAGGATTACAACGCACTCCTCGATCAGATCTCCAAAGGAAAGGTTAGAGACTATTCAATCTTGTATATGCGTCTTCCTTGTAAGGTTGATTTGATCGAGATCTCCTCAAGCATACTGTTATTCAAGTGAAAATAGAGAAGATAAAAGATAGATATATACTAATTCAAACGGAATAGTTCATTTTTATCTCCAATAATTCAAAAGCGGGACATGCACACTTGATGTTCGTTAAACCTGCAGAAAGAGCATATTCGTGTTCTTCTTTATTTCCATGTTGTTGAGATTTTATTCATATATAGTTCTATTTGGTGCCATAACCAAAACTCGAAACACACAGTGATGATAACTCGAATTAATGTCTAACTTTTCCCTTTTTCTTCAACAATGATCAGTACGGTGCTGTGGTGGGAGATGTGACAATTGTGGCAAATCGTTCCAATTATGTCGATTTTACTTTACCCTATACACAATCTGATGTGAAGATCCTTGTTAAGGTTCGACATGATCCACGGTTAGATATGTGGATTTTTGTACGACCTTTTAGTTGGGATCTGTGGTTGTCGATCGCCGTCGTCTGTGTTTTCATAGGAGGTATCATACTATTCATGGAACGGAATGTTAAGCAGGATTCAGGACATGAAAATTCGCCGTTGAAAAAGCAACTTAGTGGCGTTTCTATTCTATGGTTTCCCATAGTCCAAGCAATTCTTCCGGAAAGTGAGTTTGGAACCTTGCTATATATCCTAATTTTACCGTCGTTTCATCGCCATCCTATTTGGTATAATTTTTCTTTAAAAAGTTGTTTATCACATATTTTTACCGCATCGTACAGTTTTGAATGTAAATTTCTATATTATATGCAGAGGAATCATTGGCCAAGAATTGCTCTAGGTTTGTACTCGTGCTATGGTTAATATTAGCATTTGTGCTAATGCAAAGTTACACGGCATGCTTATCATCAATCTTGACAGTACATCAGCTGCAACCTCGTTACCCTAATGAGTACGACGTTCTTAATGACCCCAACATTAACATTGGGTACCAGGGTGGCTCATTCATTAAAGGCTTGTTGCTTGAGAGATTAAAAGTTCCCAAGTCAAGGGTGAAGAACTGTTCAACTATTGAACAATACAAGGAGGCCTTAGATAAAGGAAGCCGTGAAGATGGTGTAGATGCTATTTTTGACGAAGTTCCCTACATTAAGGTGTTCCTCAAAAAATATGGTTCTAACTATG